TGATCAAAACCAATCAGCTGTACCATGTCAATAAACTTTCCCCTTTTGCTTAGATCCAAGGTCGTACAGATTCAGGCTAGTCCTATGGGGAAAGCATTTTTTCTCCTTTCTCTCTTCCTTCAGGGGTGGAATCTGTCCTGGAGGGGTGTGGGAGGGGCGTTGGCTGAGATTGCCGCAAGGCCCGGCCCAGAATACATCTTCTCTCCTTTCTCTCCTCCTCTGAGGGCAGGTTTTGCCCTTCCGGAGGGGGAGATAACCCCCCAGACTGGGGGAAGGGCACTTCCTGGGGCTATCTGGCATCTCAGCTCAGGAAGTAGCTACCCTCGTTATTCCACCCCTTCAAGGGCAGGGTTTACCTAGTTGGTAAGAAGAGCACACTTCAGGGCTGCTAGAGAAGCCCTGCCTAAGGTCACTGAGGGACCCAGACCAGAAAGCAGCCTGTCCCACTACTCCTCCCCAGCAGATGTGGGGGTCAGTCCCTATGGTATGCAATATCAGTGGTCCGATCGCAGCCAAGGGCTATCCACCACCCCTGTGGGGTCACAGCCCAGAGAACAGCTTCCCTTGCTCCTCCACACTTCCAAGGGTGGGGCACTGTTTCTTTGGAAGGAGGCGCCGGTTACCAAGTCACAGCAAAGAGGAGGCTGCGGGACCCAGCTGGGAGAACAGCCTCCTTCACTCTCTACTCGGCCCTTCCCGTTGTGGAGTCTGTCTGTTTGGCCGGCAGCTCCGGCTACCAAGTCACAGCAAAGAGGTGACCATGTGTCTCAGCTTGAAGAGCGGCCTCCTTGGTTACTAGACACTCTTAGGGGTGTGTGCTGTCTCTTTGGTGTAAAATAGCCTAGCCATGGAGATGCAACAAACGGGCTGCCACGGTCATGGGTTTCAGAGATACAGACACACACATACACACACATACACACACACTGAAAAAGAGTAAAAAGGAAAAAGAAAGAAAAGAAAAAAAATAAAAGAGAAAGGACAACAGAGGAAAGGAAAAAAAGAGAAAAAAGGGAAAAGAAAGAGAAAAAAGGAAAAAGGAAAAAAAGAAAAAGAGAGAAAAAAAAAAAGGCCACCCCTTTACTTCACCCAGGGCTGGAGACCATCCCTTTCGCGCGAGGCATGGAGGGGGTCGAGTCGCCTGGGAGAGGGGGTGATTATGTCATTCTGGATCATGGCTCCACAAGCGGTCTCCTTTAGTTCACCATCTTTTTCGTGCATAGCGCCGGTGGCTGAATGGAACAGGGCTACCCGAGATTGCCTGGCAATTCAGCCAATAAATCGATCTTTCTCCCTTTTCCACCCTTTCGAAGGTGGAGCTTGAGTCGCCGGCTCGGACAGACTGTCCGCAGATTTGGGAGAGAAAGTGGCTTCTCGCGTTATTCTCCTCCTCGAAGGGCGTGACCAGCTCTGTCTGGTAGAGGCAGAGGCGCTGACTCAGACCATTGCCTGGGCAACAGGCCTCAGTAGTTTTAGGCTTTGGACTCCCAAAATGGTGGCTGCCCACCCACTGAGAGTCAGCGCTGGAGACGACTGCACCGGGCGGGTAACCGGAGCTGGGTTTGTCGCCGCTATCTCTGGGAGCTGTCTCCCAGAGCCTCCCGCAGAGCCCACTGCTTCCCCAACACACTGAGACTCGACAGATCAGCAGGGGGACTCTGTGCTCTGTCCCTCCCAACGCCGCCCAAATCTTCGGTGATTTCCATGGGCAGAGCCTCCTTTATGGTGTTCCCCTCCCCCATCTGGTCTTGGCGGTCTCCTGTGGTGAGAACCCTGTCTCCAAACTTTCCCCTGTGGGCTCAGGAAGTGTCCGATCCGCGAAGCGTCTGCTCGGAACAGCCCCTCCCCACCCGAAGCAGACCTACCACCATGCACAGGAGAGTTCAAAATGCTTCCTGCTCCTGTCTCCACTCCCCACCGCCTGTCTGCCCGTGCTACCACTTTGCACTAACTTCAGGAGCTTCCCTGCCTGCCTGGGTGTGGGGGTTGGTGGAGGAAGAGTCGCCTTCCTGTGGGTCAGATCACACTGCCCCAGCCAGCTCGCAGACGGGCGCGGCCGTCCCACGCTGCACTCCCCACTGTTTGTCCCGCGCTCTCCGGAATTTGCAGTGGATTCTCCGGTTCACCTTTTTTTTCTGCAGCACCGCTTGTCCCTCGCTGCTTCTCTGCAGATTCGCGAAGCTGATCCTGTGGGAGAGCGCCTCACTCACGTGTGGCTATCCGCGTTCTTCACCTCCTACTCTGGGAGCAGAGAGCAAGGAGGTCACCCCTAATCTGCCAATTTTTGGTCTCTTGCCCTGGCAAGTTAAAGGTCGAATGCAAGGGATCGGACTTTGTTGTCCTATCTACTGAGGAGTGGGTGGTCCCCTCAGCTCTTACTCAGTTTCCTTAATTTGGCTCTTAGCAGAACCTGGGGATCCCTTCTTTCTTGAATTGAGGTCCTCTCCTCATAAAAGACCTGCACCTCCCTGAGACCCAATAGGGGAAACTGAGGGTGGCCTGATCTGGCAACAACTGACCATTGTCTCCCAAGAGAGACAGCTGTCGCAGACTGGTTGAGACCCTACCGGTGAATTGTCCTACTCAGGGTCCTAACTTGGGATCCCAAATCTGACTCATAGGAAGGCCTAAGAGTCCTCCCTCTGCTGAGCTGGGACTGACCCCCTCACACCAAGACCCCCACTTCTCTCTCTTACTCCTGAGGATATGAGGGTGCCTCTGCCTGACATTTATGTCTGAATCTCTCTAGGGAGGATACTGATCGGTCCCCACTGATAGGGGTTTGGTGGTTCCTGCACTCTTCAGTGTACTTACTTTACTCCTGGCACGCTTTGGAAATCTTCCCTCTATGGATCTGACTCAGCCAGTCTCAGAAATCTCCTGGAAACCTCCACAGTAGAAATCGGGTTCAGCCACATCCTGTCAAGACTATTTGGAAACTCTGTGGGCTGCCAGCAGGGTCGGAAGTCTACGGATCACACCGCTCTGGGTAGGTGCTTCCCTCATTCCTTGTTCAGGGTCCTCAACTTCGTATGTGTCAGAGACTGGAACTCCCCCTTCTGCCGACCTGAGGTCACCTTTCTTACGGCAGGACTCACAAGTCCCTGAGAGCCTTGAAGAGTAAGTGAGGAGATGCTCAGCTGTCAACTTTGCCTGGCATGGTGCTCTCCCCAGTCCTCCTATATAGGGGTTTTGTCTTGACTCCTGTCCCTTAATTACAGACTTCCTGGGATATGCCACATCCCTACAAACTCTTAACCAGTTTCCCTAAGACAAATCCTGGAGAGAAGACGTCCCTGTCCCAGCAGTGGTGTAACATAGGGAAGCTAAAACACAGGGCAGAGGTCCCAGAACAGATGCTGTACACTCAGAGAAAAAAACACATTGATCTATTCCTTCTTTTTTGCCAGCCAGATTTAGGCTCTTATGTATTTCTGTTCAAAAACATTTAACTTTCTAAAAGGAGAGGGCTGTCCAGAATGACAGAATGTGAGCCCATGATCTTTTGAGGTTACCTGACTTTGCATATGTGATCATACCTTCACCAAATATTATCTCTCTCTCCTTAATTCACACGTATCAGTCATTTTGGTATTTTTATTGCTCTTGTTATGTATTCCAATCCAGCAAATTGGGCACAGAATCCTTCTTTTTATCACCTGAGATATATTTGGGAGCGGTGAGAAGAAAAGCGAATTAAGAGACACAATGAGCCTCAGGCTGGGAAGTGCGTACAGAGGGGGCTTTACACTAATTCAGACAAGGGGTCTTGTCCCAGTTCCCTTAATTACCAGCCATGTGAAATTGGGCAGGTTACCAAACTCTGTGAGCTTCAGGCTTTTCATCTGCATAGTGGGTTTGACAAGCTCTGTCTTGTAGGACTGGTAGAATGTGTATAATGTATGTAAAGTGCCTGAAATGTACTGAGACTTCTAAAAATGCCAGTTCTTATTATGATTAATTTGTGCCCTTACATTACAGTCCACTACCCTGGGATTTATTTTCCAATCGAGGAGATGTCAGAGATTATGCCACATTCTAGGAAAAAAGGAAACCCTATCAGACAAAGTGCTGCTTAGCAAGGAAAACTAAGTAATATTTTCCCATTATATGATAAATCATTCAATGTCAGTGTGAGGTAGACTTCTTCAGTGAACACAACATAAAGCTTCTAAAATGTTTCAAGAACCAAAAACTTCCCTCTCTCTCAGCTGCCCTTCCCCCTAAACCACTTCTATTTCTATTCATTTAACCACTATCCAAAAAATCTAGATCTTGCCTAGAGTTTGCCAAATTACACATAAGATAACCTAATTTACTACCCTTTTAATAAAATGGGCTCAGGATCCCCCAGGTCAGGGCAAAGAGTGTCAGCACAGTGGCTTCTGGGCAACTCACCTCAAGGGAGTATCACCCTTATTTCTCAGAAACTTTCCAGAGATGATATGCATAGTACATCTAGTTCGTGCACTATGTTCAGCTGCACCGGGACAAGAGCACAGGACACCTTCCATCCCTGCCCCTGGTGGAGATTCTCTCTGGTTTATCCATGATACCAAAGTAACTGTTAAGAACTATTTCCCATTTCAGACTTTGTCTCTCAACTCTGAGAGGCACTATCTAAGGGTCTGGCCCCTGCTCACCACTCCTACAGCTTCATTCAGCCCACTATGCAGCCCCACTTAAAATTACCTCTCACTGAGGGACTTGGAGTTTCCCAAGGCCTGACACTGCCTTGATCAGGTAATACACACTTGACTGCTCTCATCTAGAACCACCTCCCTCCCTTCTTATCTGTGTTCACTCATCCTTTTGGTCTTAGAGTGTATATCATCATTTTTCTTACATGGTGGTTACTTCTCAACCTTGCAATTTTATGATCAGTTGCTAGATCTTCTTTTTCTTAGCCCTCCCAATTAATATTGGCAGACTAAGTGAGCCTATGAGTCTGGGGTCTAATTTGTTATGATTTAATTTTACATTTTTGAATAAGCCAGGCACATACAGTTATTTATCTTCTAATTTTATAAAACACAGGTTCAAAGGGTTTAGGAAACCAAATATTGACCATCTTACTCTTTTATTCTATTTTTTGATTCCATATATTTTACTGCTGAGTTTTTTCATATTTTCAAGGAAATTATGCCAATTCCAAGTGACGTAGCACCTGATTACTGAAAGATGGAAGTTTTCTCAATTTGTTCTACAAAACAGCAAAACTTTTACTTTTAAACCAGATAAGCAGTGTGATTAATATCATTCATAAACTTAGATTATAATGCTAAATAGAAAGAATATTTGAAAAATACCCCCCCAATACAGATAAATCTTAAAATTACCCATATAGAACAAGAACACAAAGATACTATACACTATGTTCCCTCCAGTCACACCCAGCCTTCCACTACTTGGAACACGGACCACCCTCTTCAACCACAAAGTGGAAAATCTGCCTTAGCTTCACTAGGTGTGGGAATAACTGCTGGACATGGCCCTGGAACATTTACTGGCTGTGGCATTGCTGCCATCATTGACGGTAACTGTGGCTTGTGCTCTCTCTTCCTCTCTCAACGCCTCTTCATACCGGGACTGGAAGGCACTAGGGACTGTGTGATTGACCTTGG